GATGAGCCGGATCACCTCGGGGTAATTCTCCACCTTCACCAGTTCCCCCAGTTGGTAATTGCTCTTCAGCCGGGCCAGCAGGCGACAGAACTCGTGGTAATTGTTGGGGTCTGACAAACTCTGTGGGTACAGCACAAGAAGGGGGTCAGGAATTCAGAAAAAAATATAAATCACACCATGGCCATCGACCCGGGTCAGGAATTGTCATTTGGATTGGGTTTGGGCACTTCCAGGGGTGGTGATTCCCCCATTTCCCCCATTTCCAGGGGTGCTGATTCCCCATTTCCAGGGGTGGTGATTCCCCTATTTCCAGGGATGGTGATTCCCCCATTTCCAGGGAAAATGATTCCCCATTTCCAGGGATGGTGATTTCCCGTTGTAGGGGAACGGGGTAAGGACTATGTAGTGAGCAATAATTCACTCATTTTTGAGCTGAACTCCTTTAATTTATTTAGTAATAGTAAGTACACTAAGCCTTTTGCATAAATGGGAGTTATTGGCTAATTAGTAGTTTGTTTTATATTGTTTCGTATATTTTTTATGTATGCAAAAGCATCTGTGTTGTTTGTAGTTTCTTAAAATTTTGCATTTGCTTCAATAGTTTTTTGTTTTTTAGGCTTGTGCAATTGGATTTTGGGGTTTTGGGCACTTCCAGGGATGCTGATTCCCCCTGGGCAGCCCATTCCAATCCCTTTCCCAGTAAGGAAATTTTTCCCAATATCCACCCTGAACCTCCCGTGGAAGTGGAATGGGGGAAACGAGAGGACCAGAAAACGCTGCTCCTTTTATCAGCACAAAATTGGGGCATTTGAAGGATTTTTAGAGCTGAAATGGGATGGAGAGGATGCAAAGACATAATTCCATGGGGAATTCTCACCTGGGGGTTTTCCAGTATCCGTTTGACTCCATCCACGAGATGAGACAGGAATTTGGCTCTCTCGGCGTTGTTGAAGAGCGAGCGGCGCACGGAGGCGATCTGCACCAAACACGACAACACCTGCCAGGAAAAACGGGAATGAGCACAAAAAAATGGGATGGAGCAGGAAATTGGGGGATTTTCTCATTGTGGGATAATCAGATAGTGAGGTTTGGGGTTGTTTTAGGGACAGAAGAGCTCGTTCAGCTGAGGAGTGGAGACAAAAATCACGGCTGTTCCCAAAGAATGGCTGCATCCCGAAAATCCCAGAATTATGGGATTGGGACAGAAATTCCCAAAGAATGGCTCCATCCTGAAAATCCCAGAATTATGGAATTACTGGGGTGGGACAGAAATTCCTAAAGGAATAGCTCCATCCCAAAAGTACCAGAATTATGGAATTACTGGGTGTCATGGTTTTATTTGGGTTGGGAAAGAACTTCCCAAAGGAGCGGCTCCGTCCCAAAAATCCCAGAATTATGGAATTACTGGGGTTGGGACAGAAATTCCCAAAGAATGGCTCCATCCCAAAAATCCCAGAATTATGGAATTACTGGGGTGGGAAAGAAATTCCCAAAGAATGGCTCCATCCTGAAAATCCCAGAATTATGGAATTATTGGGGTTGGGAAAGAGCTTCCCGAAGGAGCAGCTCCATCCTGAAAATCCCAGAATTATGGAATTACTGGGGGTGGGAAAGAAATTCCCAAAGAATGGCTGCATCCCAAAAATCCCAGAATTGTGGAATTACTGGGGGTGGGACACGAATTCCCAAAGAATGGCTGCATCCCGAAAATCCCAGAATTATGGAATTATTGGGGTTGGGAAAGAACTTCCCAAAGGAGCGGCTCTATCCTGAAAATCCCAGAATTATGGAATTACTGGGGTTGGGAAAGAGCTTCTCAAAGAACGACTCCATCCCCAAAGTACCAAAATTATGGAATTAATGAGGGTGGGAAAGAAATTCCCAAAGAATTGCTGCACTCCGAAAATCCCAGAATTGTGGAATTACTGGGGTTGGGAAAGAACTTCCCAAAGGAAAGGCTCCATCCTGAAAATCCCCGAATGATGGAATTACTGGGGTTGGGAAGAACTCCAAGGTCAGAGCCCGGGCTGTGCCAGATCCCCACTGTGCCACGTCCAGGCCTTCCTCAGTCACTGATCCCGATGGAATTATTCCAGATTTCCATCCAAAAAGGAACCTCACACTTCCAATCTCTCCTGAATATCCTAAAATATCCTAAAATATCCTAAATTTGGGATCAGCCATGAACCTCTATCAGAAAGAACACTGGAATCTCCATGGACAAATTCGTTCCCTTTCAATTAAGGGTTTTTTTTTCACTCAGATTTAATTATGGGAAATATTTCTCAAAGGGATAAATGCCTGGAAAGATTTTTTTTTAATTTTTCCAGAAGAAAAAACCCAATTTTTCACTCAGTTGTGTTTTTGGCCCTTTCATCCCAGCAGGACACAGGTTTGGAAGGAGAAATCCCATTCCTTGGGTTTTTGCTCCCTAATATTGGGGTTATTTTAGGATCTGGGAATTACAGGAGCCAAATCCCTCTGGGAGAGGTTATTATTACAGGAAGATCAAGAAATTTTTTTTGGTGGAATTCCAGCAAAAAAAGTATTTTTAGGGAAAATCCAACCCTGTGGATGCTTCAAAACTCTCAGCAGCATTTGGGACACTTCAGCACAATCTGAACCCGCAGCGATTTTCCCAAATAAATCCTCAAATGAAGGAAAATAAATGAAGGAAAATAATTCCCTGGACTTACCAGAGGAGAAAACGAAGGAGGGATGGAATGATAAAGATCAAAAAACAACTGAAGGGTCGAAGAATCCAAAAATGCTGCAAAAAAAAAAAAAAAAAGAGGATTTTCCCTCCATCAGCAGCTCTGCACAAACCTAATCCTTATTTCACCCAATTTGTCACACTGAGCACCACAATCCCAAAAAAAAAAATCCCAGGAAATTTGATTTTTTACGCAAAAACCATTCCTAGAAATAAAATCACCCACGGGCGTTGGGAGAAAAATGACARGGAGGTATTTTAGGAACACAATCTGTGCCTGGCAAATGCCTGCTGGGAACAGCAGGATTTGGTAAAAAGGTGCCAAGTTTTTTGCCCTATTTAATTATTTTTTTTTTTAAATCTGGTTTTCCTGGTTGTTGGGTTGGGAGGTGTAAGACTGGAAGGGAAAAGGGGTTTTATGGGTGAGATAAAATCCTAAAAAACAATCAGGGGGGTTTAGGGCTGGGTTTAAACTCAGGGTTTGCATGCCCGGGTTTATTTAGGTTTATTTAGGAGAAATTAGAGGGTTTGAGCATTTTGCAGGTGGGATTCTGTAGAATCTGGGATTCTATGGAATCTGGAATTTCGGGTTTAACCTCAGGGTTTTTAAGCCTGGGTTTATTTAGGGTTATTTAGGAGAAATGAGAGGGTTTGAGCATTTTGCAGGTGGGATTCTGTGGAATCTGGGATTCTGTGGAATCTGGAATTCCGGGTTTAACCTCAGGGTTTTTAAGCCTGGGTTTATTTAGGAGAAAAGAGAGGATCTGGGCATTTTGCAGGTGGGATTCTGTGGAATCTGGGATTCCAGGTTTAATGTCAGGGTTTTTAAGCCTGGGTTTATTTAGGAGAAATAAGAGGATTTGAGCATTTTGCAGGTGGGATTCTGTAGAATCTGGAATTTCGGGTTTAACCTCAGGCTTTGCATGCCCAGGTTTATTTATGAGAAATTAGAAGGTTTGAGCATTTTGCAGGTGGGATTCTGTAGAAACTGGAATTCAGGGTTTGCAAACCCCAGTTTATTTTGGAGAATAAAGAGTATTTGGGCATTTTTCAGGTGGGATTCTGTGAATCCCTGCAGGCTCACCTGATCTCCAGCTGGTTGGGATCTGCACAGTGCACAGATCATCCGAGGACTCGTCCGTGGAGGTGCCGATGAARTCGAAGTTCAGGCAGTTGTGGGTGAGTTTGAGCAGCTGCATCAGCAGCCCGTGCTGGCTCTCATCGTTCAGGTTCAGGTTCTTCCCAGAAGCCTGAGGAAAACATGGAATTGAGGCAGGGAAAGGGAAAAAAAAATAAAAATAAAAAATAAAATTYAGGTTTTATATTTGGAGACAGGGTTTTATTTTAACAGGGATGGGGTGGCACAAGCACCAAAGACCAGGATTTATTGATCAAGATAAATAAATGGAACCCCAACTTTTCCTCCCTTTCCTGGTGCTTTTAATCCCAGGCTGATCCCAATGGAATTATTCCAAATTCCCACAAAATGGGAGTCTCAGAGTTCCAATTTCTCCAGAATATCTGAGGCTCCAAATTCAGGATCAGCCATGAACCCTCCACCAGAAGGACATTGGAGTCTCCATGGAAAAAACCCTGATCCAGGGCTATATTTGGAATCAGAACTGTGGTAGAGAGTTTTATTTCTGTTTTTATTATTATTATTTATTATTAATTTTATAATTAATTTTATAATTAATTTTATAATTATTAAAATTATATGTTATAATTATTCATTCGTTATAATTTATCATTTTCTATACAGTATATTTATTGTAATTTTATTGTGACTAAACAATATATAATTATATTTATGATGTTTTGTATATAACATATATTATAAGTTAGACATTATAGATCATATATTATATATTATATATATTATTTTACATATTATACTGTACATATGATAAATTATATAGAGTATATAACACGTATTATATATTGTGTATTATACATTACATACTATATACTATACATTATATATCATATATCATACATTATATATTATTTATTATATATTATATATTCTATCTTACATATTATAAATTATATACTACAGATTACATATTATATATTATACATACTAATCCTTTATCCTTATATTTGTTTTTATTACTATTTATTCTGTGTTATTTTTGCACCATGGCTTTAGATTTATTTCACATTTATTATTTAAATMATATACAATTTATTATATTATATAATACTATTTAAATAATACACAATTTAAAAATTTTTTTTTCCTTTCAGAACAAATTTCCCTTAACAAATCCATTTCTATCCAGAACCGAATTTTTGGCACAACAGCGCTAAATTTCACCCCCTCAAAAAGAACATTTAACCCATAAAAAAATAAAAAAATAAAGAAAATAATTCCCAATGTTTTGCTCACCTGTTTGAGTAAACTGCAGGAGAGGGTGAAGATATCGAAGAGCGAGGAGTCGCGGAAGGAAGAGGCGATTTTCCTGTGCTTGGTCAGGGGGTGCGTGGTGTCCGCCTGCACGGGGAGAAAATGGGATCGGAGTTTGGGGAGAGGAGCAGGAAAAACAGCAGAGCCCAGGAAAAAGTGGGATATGGGGATGGGATTATCCCCAGAGCATTCGGGTGGGATTGATTCTTGGACCTGGGAAAATTCCCCTTCATCGCGGGGTTTTATCGCGGCCCAGCCGTGGTTTGTTACCAATTTATTTCAAATTTATTCCTGATCTATTCCCGATTTATTCCCCACTTATTCCCCATTTTTCTCTCCCTGGCCATTAAGAGGGGCTGACAATAGAAGAGTCTCACAAAATAATTCCTTTAAATTGGGGAATTTTGGGGTTTAACTCCTTTAAAATCGGATAATTTGGGATTTTTTCTCTCCTTGATCAATAAGAGGGGCTGACAATGGAAGGGTCTCACAAAATAATTCCTTTAAAATTAGGTAATTTTGAATTTTAATTCATTTAAAATCAGATAATTTGGGATTTTTTCTCTCCCTGGTCATTAAGAGGGTCTGACAATGGAAGGGTCTCACAAAATAATTCCTTCTCCTCGTTCCTCCCCTTTCCCACCCCACAAAAACCACACCAAAACATGGGAGAGGATGGAAGATACCACCAAAATAAAAAAAAAAACCAAAAATCCCTCAACACAGGAACTCTGAGCATCTTTACCACAAACAAGAAACAAAAAAAAATCCCAAAAACCACCTCCCAGACAGCAAAAATCCCAAAAAAAACCCAAAAAAAACCCCAAACAAGGCAGGACACAACAATATGAATGAGAAAATTGGACACTTACTTCACTGAAGAAGGCTGTAGCACTTACTTGATTAATTTCATTTGTTAATTGGGACAGGATTGTCACTCCTATGATGCAGTGCTCTACACTGTCCTGGGGAGGAAAGGTACAGAGTTCACAGGGCTGAAATTCCCAAAATTTCCAATTTTTTGGGGGGAAAAATTCCTGCCCGGAAAGGCTCAATCATGGTTTTTCTGAGCGTAGGAAATTCCTAAAAATCCCTGGAATTGTCCAATCCCAGGAAACGGGAAGGAGGGAATCTGACCTGTAGGAACTTGGTGACGTCGTCGATGAATCCTAAAAGTGGGAGCACCCAGAACCAAATCCCTGCTCCTTGAATTTAAGGGTTTCCCTTTGGAAATCCCTACTCAACGAAGAGCCCAGACTCCAAAATTCCTAAAAAATCCCTGGATTTGGCCAATTATGGGAATGTTGAGGAAGGAATCTGACCTGCAGGAGCCTGGTGACATCATTCATGAACCCTGAAGATGGAACCATCAAAAACCAAATCCCTGTTCTGTGAATTTTAAGATTTCCCTACTCAACGAAGAGCTCAAACTCCAAAATTCCTGAAAATTCTTGAAAATTCCTGAAAATCCCTGGAATTGGCCAATCCCAGGAATGGGAAGGCGGGAATCTGACCTGCAGGAACCTGGAGACATTGTTCATGAATCCTAAAAGTGGGAGCATCCAAAACCAAAGTTTTGGTGCCTAAATTTTCAAAGACAAGACTGATCTGGGAGCTGCTTCCCTTTGGAAATCCCTACTCAATGAAGAGCTCAAACTCCAAAATTCCTGAAAATCCCGTGATCTGGCCAATTCTGGGAATGTTGAGGAGGAAATCTGACCTCAAGGAACTTGGTGATATCGTTCATGAACCCTAAAGATGGAACCATTCAGAACCAAATCCCTGCTCCTTGAATTTTACCGTTTCCCTTTGGAAATCCCTACTCGAGGAAGAGCCCAGACTCCAAAATTCCTGAAAATCCCTGGATTTTGCCAATCCCAGAAACGAGAAGGAGGGAATCTGACCTGGAGGAACTTGGTGACATCACTGATGGATCCTAAAGATGGGACCATTCAGAACCAAATCCCTGCTCTGTGAATTTTAAAGTTTCCCTTTGGAAATCCCTACTCAACAAAGAGCCCCGACTCCAAATTTCCTAAAAATCCCTGGATTTTGCCAATCCCAGGAAACGGGAAGGAGGGAATCTGACCTGCAGGAACTTGGTGACCTGGTGATGCATCCTAAGGGTGGGACCATTCAGAACAAAATCCCTGCTCCCTGAATTTCACTGTCTCCCTTTGGAAGTCCCTACTCAACGAAGAGCTTGGACTCCAAAATTCCTGAAAATTCATGGATTTGGCCAATTCTGGGAATATTGAGGAGGAAATCTTACCCGAAGGAACCTTGAGACATCATCGATGAAGCCTAAAGATGGGACCATCCAAAACCAAATCCCTGCTCCATGAATTTTAAGGTTTCCCTACTCAACGAAGAGCTCAGACTCCAAAATTCCTAAAAATCCCTGGAATTGCCCAATCCCAGGAACGGGAAGGAGGAAATCTGACCTGGAGGAACTTGGTGACATCGCTGATGGATCATAAAGATGGGACCATCCAAAACCAAATCCCCATCCTTTAATTTAAGGGTTTCCCTTTGGAAATCCCTACTCAACGAAGAGCCCAGACTCCAAAATTCCTAAAAATCCCTGGATTTGTCCAATCCTGGGAACAGGAAGGAGGGAATCTGACCTGCAGGAACTTGGTGACATCGCTGATGGATCACAAAGATGGGACCATCCAAAACCAAATCCCTGCTCTGTGAATTTTAAGGATTCCCTTTGGAAGTCCCTACTCGAGGAAGAGCTTGGACTCCAAAATTCCTAAAAATTCATGGATTTGGCCAATTCTGGCAAAGTTGAGGAGAAAATCTGACCTGCAGGAACTTGGTGATGTCGTCGATGACGTTGCGGAAGACGTACTCGTCCTTCTGGCAGTCGAACCAGCCCAGTTTGGTGATCCTGGCGTAGAGCTGGATCAGCGCCTGCGTCACGAACGTCGCCAGCTTCGGCCTCGTGGCCAGGTAGTTCAGAACATAATTCCCTAAAAAAAAAGGGGTGAAATTGGAGTTGGAGGTGGAATTCAGGATTTTGGGATCGAGGTGGGAAAATTTCGTGGGAATTGGAAGTGTTTGGGGGGTTGGTTTGAGGAGGAAATCGAAGGAAATCACGGGGTCGGTGATAAAACTCCAATTTTTATTTGGGAATTTAAGATGCTGGAAAAGGTTGGATTCAGCTCTGGAATATTCCTGGAAATGGGGYGAGGTTCCCACCCTCAAAATAATCATTTTTTGTTCCA